ACTTCGGGTTAGAGGCCTGGCAGAGGAAATGGATGTCACACTTTTCGAACACCATCTAATGGTTCCTGTTGTGCAGGCTCCACCGTGGTAGGGGCAGCTTGAAGAATGATCTGTCTTGTATAAGTTATGAAACATGTGCCTACTGCACATATTCACGTCATTCTTAGAATTGCAGCATAAATACTCGTGTCCTGAATTTTTCACAGATGCAGATAAGTCTCATGATGGCATGTCTTGTGCAGACATTGGCCCATTCTTCTAAGATGCCGGAGTTTTGCTTTCAAAAACAAGCATATATACAGCCTAAGCCTTTGAAATACTGACCGCTGCTGAACATATTAAATAATTAAATATACCGAAGTCAATTGTATACACAGACTCCTTAAACTCGTAAAAGCCTTGAAATTTCTCAAAAAGCAAAAGAATCCTGTGATTATATTGCTTTATTCTGTTTTGTGCACCATTTATGCTTTCAATTAGCAGATAGTCATATGATGGGTGCCGGGGCACAGGGAGATGGCAGGCAACGTACTGGCCGACCAGTTGGCTGCATCCGTCCACACACACAACCACTTTTTCTGCAGCTGTCGCTGCAATGGATATTTTACGAAAATGACTCAGAATGTACTGAGAACGCTTATAGAATGCCCAGGCACAAAACAAGCTCTAATTAAGCAATTATTCGTAACTGGCCATCGACAACAATCCAAGCGAACCGATATAATAATTTTACAAAGAAACGTATATTTGCAGATATTTACGATGTTTAAACGCGACGACAATGGCTGGAACACTGTCGGTGCCACAAGGCAGTAGTGGGATTGGGGCAATATTTACCAGAGTAAGAATAGGACACTCGTATGGCACACACATTCACCTCTTGTCAGGTACAGATCATCCGATGTGCAGTAGACGTGGGGAGGCACTCGCCGTTCTTCATGTCCTGCTACAATGCTGTAAATTGGAAGCAGAAAGGAAAAAAGCACTTTGAAGTATATCGTCAGAATATCCCGCTTTTTCCTGCAATGTTTTTAGGAAATGAACCACTCGTAAGACATAAAGATACTTTGAACTTTTTGAAAAACGCTGCCGTATTATAAGTGATTTTCACGGGGAATTCGTTGCACATTCTCTCAAGAAGGGTGCTTCTTTGAAATCATTCGAATGCACTATTCTGCGAACCCTTGCTTGCAAAAGTTCTTGTGAGGCCATGGTGCTTTCATGTGGTATCAGCTTTTAAACACCCTGATCAATGGGTCTGTTTTGAATCGCTAAACCTCACCGTCATTTTACTAAATATACATGTTTTAAGCACCTTTAGTGCACAAGATTTTAGGCCCTCATACAGCCAACATACATTATCATTCATCACTATCTAACTATAGTCTTGGCGCTCTTTAGCCAACCATAGCTCTTGTGCCACTAAACACAACATATCATCATCATCAGGTTGCTCTGTAGAGACGTACGCCGCTGTAAGGTCGGCAGAAATTTCCCTGAAGACGGCACTTTCAATCTCCGCTTCCTTACACTTGGCGTAGGACGCTTGGCAATGTGTTATCACTTTCGCTGGAATTTTCAGGGGTGTCACCTTGGTTGTCTCAATGAACACGTTTAGCTCCTCAACACCAGTTTGTTCTGGAGAGAAATTTTCGTCAGATTGACATCCTTCCAGACACTCTGTGGCGATCTCATTGAAGCAGTTGAAGAATTTAATTATGGCACAAAATGTTGGTTTTTCTGATGTATGAGGCTTCTTCTGGCATGCGCTTTCTAAATAAGGCGGCATTCAAATCTTTCACATTTCGAAGGTTCCACTTGTAGGCAATGTTCTTCTTATGCTTATTTTTAGATAGTATGCACACAACGCTCCACAACGTAGCCTTGCATCTCAGGCGAGTGTTATACGCGCACATGTACGCATGTTTATTGGCTAGCAGATGACTTCCGGGTTGTGGACGACGAGCAGAAGCAAAAGCTGACATTCTCTAATGACTTCGACCTTTCTGAAGCAAGTTAAGCTGTGTCTTGTGTTCTTTTTTTTTTTTCGGGAGCTAGCAAACACGGTCGAGTTGCAGACGCGCCGCTGGTGCCGTCACGCACCTTCTGCATTATCAGATTACCGCCATGCCACCGAAAGGGATAAATATCCAGCGGTGGATCCTCTCTTCATGAGGTGTACGCAGGGTTGCATTCGCAAAAGACCTTGAAAGCGATTCTTGTGAAGCATGTTACTCTGCATTGCGACAAGCCCAGTGGCTGGGATTCACGAAGTTTTTGTGAAATGCGTAGAGAAACCTAGTTCTAATCTGGTCTTCGAAGCCATCCGTCGAGTTTTTTTTTTTCGCTTGGTCAACTTGTCATTTACGAGCATCCACAGAACACATTCACGACCTAAAAATATTGATAATGGCAACTACTGCCCCCTGCTCGCTCGATGTCGGCGTTACTCAGTTCTTGTCATTTTTACCAGTTTTTGAGCTTTGTAACTTCGTTCTCACAAAAATACTGCAACATGTTTTTACCGCTTAAGTTAAAGCATGTGCTTGGGTTTAATTCCGAAGAGTCAAAAGAAAATCTAAGATGGCTTTCTTTTTAAAATAGACTTCAAACTATGGCATTTTCAGAGACATGTCATCAGTTAAATGTTTCTGCTTAATGTTTGACGCCACTCTTGGCAATCACGTTCTGCAAATTTTTTAACCTAACATGTGGCAACGCTCTTAAAATTTTTGGGAAGTCTGAAATTTATATGCTTGGAGGAAAAACAAATTTTAAATTTGAGCAATATTGAAGTGTGCGTTGATTTCGAAATTTTTTTGCTTGAGAGGACAGTGCCAAAACTGTGAAGTAATGACGGTTTATCAATGAAAGCTGTTGTTAGTATGTGGTTTTATGTTTTTAGACATACAGCTACAACAGTTTTTTTGCGGTATCTCATCATAGTCCCATGTTCGCGAAATTGTAAGAAGTGATTGCAGCTCATTGGCCACTTCTGAATTCTTTTAAGAAAATAAAATTATTTTTTGCGGAATCAATTATGGTTTTGCAGTCCTGGGAATTCGGAAAACAAAATGTTTTTTCTGACAAACTAAAGGAGGTTGGCGGACACGCACAGATGTTTTTGTCTGAATAGAGCCTACAGATCTTTGCCTACTTCCTTTCTTGGCGTATCATTTTTCACTTGCAGTGTCCATTCCTTCCCATCCTTTCTTATAATATTTCTCTACTTGCTTGCGGGGAGAGGGTAGGGGGTGTCACTAGTATGCTTGCATAAACACAGAAGCTACACAATAAGGCAAGAAGACGGTTTACGACACATTCATTACGGTTGCATCTTTCTGAGCTGGTGACAAAGTGCTGCTCTTGACATCACTTTGCACACCTGGTCTGTAGGGGAAGTTCAAGTCATGGTTCAGTTGGTCTTAGTTTCGGAGCAGTCTTTGTCTATTAACTATTGTGTGACACGACTTGTCATACCAATCGACTGCCGTTACCACAGTAAGGCAGTGGTGTATGTCTCTTGCATCATAGATTTGCGGTAGCTGGGTTTCTTCCTCATCTACGTGTTATTGCGATCATCATCATAAGTTTATCTATCTATTTTCATCTGTGTGTGCTCATCGTCATTGTGTACATGGCGTTTGCTTGCTCCCAAATTCACGACTAAAAAGATGTCATTCCGACTGAGATGTCACCGTAGGCTCATGTCTATTGGCTGCGAATGATTTTCTTGAGCTACGTAATGCATGAATGTGGAGCCATGCTGTCAAAAGGCTCGTAAAATGTGTCTCACATCGTCACGGGAAATTGAAATGTCAGTATTTAGAAATAATAAAAAAGAAACTTTGGCATATTTGAAAACTACTAGTCAAAGATCAGAGTCGAGGTTTCTAGCAAGTTCCTGGTCAATACACGAGAGAAATAAATTTTTATTGAAGACAAGCGCTATGCATGGCACAAGAGAAATGCCTTTTCGTTTCACGTAGAGAGAGTCGCTGAAAGAAATGTCCTTAAGTAAAATTCAAGCAGAGTCAAGGAATTGTCAAACGATAAACCACAACAATCGATTAGATCAGTGCTACCAATATCATTAGTAGACTCTGCAATGCAGGTAAGAAGGACTTATCGTATGCTGCTTGCTCTCTGCAAGTGCACGTCTTAAATATATATATATATATTTGGGTAGAAATAAACGAGTTGAAAGTGTGGAGCCTGTCCTGTGTTTACTTGCTCTCAATTCATTTCTCTAGCGCCCCATTTGACATGCTCAGGCATTGCACAAGCATAGGATTAGTGTGGCTGTTTTCTAAAGTTTTGACATGGGGCAGTTCAGCAGCTGTGCTTTTCATTGTTGGTACAGAGCAGCATTCAAGGGGCCATGACACGATCATCCAACAATTCGTGGTTTTCAGTGAAAACTAAAAGTAGAGGTATATAGAAGTAGAGTATATAGAAGTAGAAGTATATTATTATGCCTATGCAGATATGAGGAATTCGTTGTAAAAGACTGTTTCTGTGCAAAACAAGTCCTGCAAGCCAGCCGTGAAGCCCACCCATTGCTGGCGATCATTTTGCCTTGGCACTTGTGACGTCATGCCGAAGTTTCAGCCGCTGCAATAGCGTTCAATTTCAATGCCAACCAAATTACTATCTCAATTTCATGAGCTGCTAACCAGAAGAAAATATTGTTGGCTGCAATGCAAATGCTTGCACAGCTAGCTCCTTGTTACGTCACGGCTCACGAGTGCGCCAGTGTTTCCAGACTCTCGGGCCGGCTTGTGTGTTTAAGAAGGCATTTGATTATAAATTAAGCCTGCTGATTTGTGATTAAACAGCTTAAAGCTTGACCCACATAACTATCTAAAATAGGGTTTCATGGCCCCTTAAACAGGAAGGGTGGCAGAGGAACCTGGGTGGCTTGGTTCCTGTGGGAAAGCAGTTTTCGCTGAGATTCTGCATGCTTTGCAAATTTTTTGATTATCGGTTTCTTGCAACAGACACCAGCAGCGAGGTCTCCATCAAGGACGTCCAGAAGAGGCTTATATATGTCCGCTCTATCAGAAGGGTGAGTGCTTCATTTCAGCTGTCTGGGCACACGTCCTACTTATTTCAACTTACTGCAGCCTTGAAGGACTGTTGCAGCAGAGGCTGAATACGAAAATTGGAATACAACACAAATGACGGTAGATGAAGATCAGTGGTCAGTAATGCACAAAACAAATCCATCCAGTGGTAAAGGTTTATCACGGCTGGGTAAAGCATTGCATATGCCTGTAATTTGTGAACAAAGCTACATGCTGCATATTTGTTTGGGGAATAAAAAGTGACATTTTCAGCACCTGATGATGTCGGGTGGATGTTCGTTCAGCGGTATGTAGTGATGCGGTTCCTGAGTAAACAAAATCATGGACACGGAATTAGATTCTAGAGAGTCAGCGTGATGACGAGAAGAGAGATTACTAAGATGAAGACTCTGCAGATAACTAGGTGAAAAATACCTGGCGTAGCAGGGACATACAAAGTATATTGCTTTCTTCTGGACAGGTTCAATTTTTTAATGAATGATACTAATACAAGAGCTCTTATTTGTCTTACCATAATATTGAGCTGTAGAAACTTGCTCGAGCTACAAGTATATTTCATTACTGTGTATAAGATCAGCAGAGGACGAGTCTATCAGAGTGCTCTATGATGATGTTTCTTTGTGACTTTTCTCTGACATAGTATGCATGTGGCACAGTTGGAAAAGTTTCACTCTGTGGAAGCTCCCAACCACCATTACTCCGGGCATGCTCAGACATTGCCTGGCTTTTAAAAGCTCTGCCTGCATTTTGCACTGGAGCTATATGCAGAGGAAGCTCTTTCCTGAATGCATTCTTTGGTGGGTGGGTGTACCAGGCAACGCATTCATTGCGTCGTGCTCATAACTGGCGGCCAGTATTTATAGGCACTAGAAAATTGGGTTGTAGGTGCTCGAAATTGACAGGCAAAATGCAGTTTTAGGCACCCAAAATCGTAAATATAGAGACAATAAATTTTCACCAGAATTCAACTTTTTGAAAAAAAAAACAAAACACACACATGACCTGTGTCTAGGAGAGGAAAGCTAAAAAAAAATTATATTTATGATGGTACAAAGGCACCAATGGTTCAGCATAGCCATGCAATCGTCCTTATTCCTGCATGGTTTGGATAACACGGTCTCTTTTTTTGTTGTCCAGCATGGCGAGTAACGTATCCATTGTCGAACAAACATGCCCCTGGGCCTCTTTCAGTTCGGCATGGCTGAGGACAGCAGAGGAGTGAATAGCCAGACTGTTAAAAGCGCAGGGGGGTCTTTTCGGTTTGTATTAACCGGGTCTAATCGCGCAGGGTCGATTTCTCTCCGTCTGTGAACACCTTCAAGAACCCCTCATCGGGCTTGAGTATTTCGATAAGGCAAGAGAAAGACATGCACTGGGTGTCTGGGTGCTATCGATCTTGTCTGCCAAGATTGGCAATGCTATGCACCCCGGAAAGAAGTGAAATGTCACGCTGAGTGACCCTTGCCCATCATCTGACGAGTACATGGCCCAGCATGGTGTAGGTAACGTAAAATAAGGAATGGCACTGCGTACGTCAAAGTAGTACGCGACACTGCGAGAATAATTTGAGAAGACGTGTAATTTTTGCTATCTGAAGCTTAAATAGAAGAATTAAAGTTGATAGAAATTTTAAAACATGCAAACTGAAACTGCGTGCATTTTTTTTTACTTTGAATCGAGCTGGCCCCATCTTTTACAACGCTTGATGTGTTTTTGGTAAATCTGCAGAGCAGTTGCAGCAGCGCTACACTGTGTGTTGTGGTAAGGATGCATGATTCATGCCAGCCTGTCTAAACGTGCACGCATAGAGAGATCCGTTGTGCAGAAACGGGCAGTATATTATCCAGAATGCCGAAACGACACAATACAGCTTGCGTGCACAACTCGGCTTCGGTGTTTTTTATGCTAATGTAATCTTGTGTGCACATGACGTGCTCATGCGTGTGCGTCTTCTGATCTCCCTGTTCTGAGTTGCTCCGATACCTAGTTGGGCCCCGCCGCGGTGGTCTAGTGGCTAAGGTACTCGGCTGCTGACCCGCAGGTCGCGGGTTCGAATCCCGGCTGCGGCGGCTGCATTTCCGATGCAGGCGGAAATGTTCTAGGCCCGTGTGCTCAGATTTGGATGCACGTTAAAGAACCCCAGGTGGTCAAAATTTCCGGAGCCTTCCACTACGGCGTCTCTCATAATCATATGGTGGTTTTGGGACGTTAAACCCCACATATCAATCAATCAATCAATCAACCGATACCTAGTTGGTCCGAAGTCTACACGGGGCAAGTGGCAAAGGTTTTAAGCACACTTCCTCGCAAAACGCCTATGAGTGTAAGTAGACGTGAGTATGAACGTGAGAGCTTATGTGTGTGAGTAAGTATGAGTGCTTAAATATGAGTACAAACTTTCCCATGCCTTAACCTTTGCACCACTGTGTGTTTTAAGGGGAGATGGTACTAAAAAAAACTTTCTTTAATTAGTAGGCTAGGCCTGTGAAATATTTACTGTTTACATAGGTTTTCTGCTGATTTCAAAATTGTAATCAGTTTTATAGTAGGTTGCACAGTTGTTCTTTTGCACCATGACTATATGTGTAAACTATATATATTTTTGGACGCACTTTTCTTGCCGTGAAACTTCCTGATTATAAGCCATAAATGGCTCATATAGCTCTGCATTAACTGTAGAATGCAAATTCCTATCACTAAAGTGTGTATTAGACCATTTCATCATCATCATCAGCCTGACTACGTCCACTGCAGGACAAAGGCCTCTCCCATGTTCCGCCAGTCAACCCGGTCCTGTGCTTGCTGCTGCCAATTTATACCCGCAAAATTCTTAATCTCATCTGCCCACCGAACCTTCTGTCTCCCCCTAACCCGCTTCTCTTCTCTGGGAATCCAGTTAGTTACCCTTAATGACCAGCGGTTATCCTGTTTACGCGCTACATGTCCGGTTCATGTCCATTTCCTCTTCTTTATTTCAACTATGATATCCTTAACCCCCGTTTGTCCCCTAATCCACTCTGCTCTCTTCTTGTCTCTTAAGGTTACACCTACCTTTTTTCTTTCCATTGCTCACTGCGTCGTCCTCAATTTAAGCTGAACCCTCTTTGTAAGTCTCCAGGTTTCTGCTCCGTAGCTAAGTACCGGCAAGATACAGCTGTTATATACCTTCCTCTTGAGGGATAGTGGCAATCTACCTGTCATAATTTGAGAGTGCTTGCCAAATGTGCTCCACCCCATTTTTATTCTTCTAGTTACTTCAATCTCGTGGTTCGGCTCTGCGGTCATTACCTGCCCTAAGTAGACATAGTCTTTTTAATAGTCTTTTACAACTTCAAGTGCACTATTACCTATCTCGAAGCGCTGCTCCTTTCCGAGGTTGTTGTACATTACTTTCGTTTTCTGCAGATTAATTTTAAGACCCACCTTTCTGCTCTCCTTGTCTAACTCCGTAATCATGAGTTGCAATTCGTCCCCTGAGTTACTCAGCAATGCAATGTCATCTGCGAAGCGCAGGTTACTAAGGTACTATCCATTAACTCTTATTTCTCACTGTTCTCATTCTAGGCATCTGAAAACCTCCTGTAAGAACACCGTAAATAGCATTGGGGAGATTGTATACCCCTGCCTTACACCCTTCTTGATTGGTATTCTGTTACTTTCTTTATGAAGCACTATGGTAGCAGTTGACCCCCTGTAGATTTCTTCCAGGATGTTTATACATACTTCATCGACGCCCTGATTCCGCAGTGTCTGCATGACGGCTGATATTTCTACTGAACCAAACGCCTTCTCGTAATCTATGAAGGCTATGTATAGTGGTTGGTTATACTCTGAGCATTTCTCTATTACCTGATTGATAGTATGAATGTTGTCAATTGTTGAATAGCCTGTTCGAAATCCTGCTTGTTCCTTTGGTTGAATGAATTCTAATGTTTTCTTTACTCTGTTAGCAATTACCTTTGTAAATAGCTTGTATACTACAGAGAGCAAGCTGATCGGCCTGTAATTCTTCAAGCCCTTGTCATCTCCTTTCTTATGTATTAAGATTATGTTAGCGTTCTTCCAAGACTCTGGTACTCTTCCCGTCTGGAGACACCTCGTAAACAGGGTGGCTAGTTTTTCTAACACAATCTGTCCTACATCTTTCAGCAGATCTGATGTTACCTGGTCCTCACGAGCAGCTTTGCCTCTTTGCATGCTCTCCAAAGCTTTTCTGACTTCTTCTATCATTACTGGTGGGGTGTCATCTGGGTTACTGCTAGTTCTTATAGTATTAAGGTCGTGGTTGTCTCAGCTACTGTACAGATCTCTGTAGAACTCCTCCGCTATTTTAACTATCCTATCCATATTGGTAGTTATTTTGCCTGCTTTGTCCCTTAGTGCATGCATCCGACTTTTGCCTATCCCAAGTTTCCTCTTCACTGCTTGACGCTTCCTCCGTTTTTCAGAGCGTGTTCAATTCTCTCCATGTTATACCGTGTTACATCGCATACCTTACGTCTATTAATCAACTTAAATAATAAAAGTTGTAAGAATTCTTTTAGAGGCTCAGCCTGTACTAATTACTATCTCAGTTTTTTTGTCATGACAGTAGAAGCTTGTGAAAGCAGGGAAAAACAAAAAATACATAATTGTGCAAAAAACTCTCAATTTTCCAACAGCATCTCCCCTTCACGATGCATGCCACCGGTTATGGTCTCCAAAGAGTTTCAATAAACGAATTTCGGGTGTCCGCCTACCTTCTAACATGTTAGTCTTTGCCGCAGAAGGTGCTCTCCTACACAAAAAGGCCACTTGAGGTGTCTTGCGCAGGAACGCCAGTCCAGCTTTTGACCGTTATCTTGCTGTGTTTCACACAATCTAAGGGAAACTGCAGCAGGAGTGAATGTACTGGTTGTATTTATCAGTGCCTAGCAAAATAAGCAGTCTGCGGCTGTAAACCGATTCCTCCAAAAGAAAAATTGACATGTGCAGCACATGA